AGAGGGCCCTTCCCAGAGGCGGGGATTTTCCAGGGCCGGGGTTCCCAGAGCCAGCTCAGCCTCCGAGAGTCTTTTCTAACTTGGTGAGATTTCTAAAACAAGGGTCCCCAACCCATGAAGCAGAGTCTCCTGGGGATGGACGTGGTCCCTGCTACTTTTGTAGGAAGTAGAAAAAGGAGCCCCACTCAGGGCAGATGCAGTCCCGCTGGGATGTGGCTTGGCAAGTAGACAGAGGCTTTAGGTAAAGAAAAACCTTTCCTCCCTTTGGGCAACGCAGCCCTGGGCGGGGTAGGGGTGGGGGAGCGTGCTGTGGGCTGCGGAGCGTGGACTGCCACGTGCCTCTCTGTACAGCACACAACCTGCCCTGCTGGGAGCAGCGGCCCTGGTGGGGCTGGGCTGGTAAAAGCCCTGCACGCGAGTCTGATGACCAGCCAGGTGGGAGCCTCTGAGGCTGGAGAGCAGCTGTGGCCAGCACCTGGCACCGTGGCCACCACCTTCCTGCTGGGGTTCCTCAGATGTTCTCAGGCCAACATTAAGCCCCTTCTTTTTTACCCACACAAAATAAGCAAAGGAAAGCCTAACCTCCAGGGGTAACATTTAGGGAATGGAGGGAAGAAGGGAAGGGGAGGGGAGGGGAGGGGTGAAGAAGGGAGGGGAGAGGGAAGAGGAGGGAGGGCCCTTATCTATATTAAACAGGCCCAGCTCTGCCTGCTTGCACAGCTGAGTCATGTTATGCATCCTGCTCCACCCCTCCTGGCCATGACACAGCTGCCAGGGGCCATCTCTCCGTCAGGGCTGGGCTCTGGGGGGCGAGCAGGGTTGATGGTGCTGGTGGGGAAGCAGGGAGGCAGCCATGACGTTCCAGTGCGTGACTGAGGCCTTGCTTCCTTGACAGAATATTCCCCTCTTCTCCAGCAAGCTGTCCGTTCTGAGTCTCTTCCAGGGGGACCTCCTGCAGCTGGCTGACTCCTGGGAGTCCCAAGGGGTACACCTGACAGGGATTACACAGAACCTACGAAACTGGACGGTCTCCATTGATTCCGATAAAGTGAGCAAAAGTTTCTAGAAATACTGCACTCCGTGCTGGTGTAGACATCCGAGGCTGGTCTTGTCATGCTCAGCTGGTGAGGGCGTCAGGTGGTGCATTTCTAGGAAGTAGTTTGGAGATGTGTGTCAAGAATTTTAAAAATGTATGCCCTTTAACATGAAATCATGCTCCAAATATTTGCATGAAATAAAGATGTGGCAAAATGCTTATGCACAGAGATACTTATCATCGTAGCATCTATACAGTGAAACAGTAAATTCAACCTAAACGGAAATGACTAAAGACATGAGGATACAGGCATGATAAAATATTATACAGCCATTAAAGTTCTATTTTTGAGTTGTTTTTAATGATTTGTTAAGGTGCTTGTTAGCTATTCTAAATGGAAAAGGGAGGGCTCAGACTTTTAAAATGAAATTTAATAAAATATATGTGCATGTAAAAATACCTTCTGTCTAGTTCAGCAATTTTCAAACGGTGTGATGCAAGAATTTTTATTTTATTTATGTGTGTGTTTATTTATTTATGTGCTTAAATTTTAAAAAATGTATTGCATGAAATTTCAATGCTTCCTTTTTTCCCCCAGTGTTTTTTAAAATTAAGTTTATTGGGGTGACAGTGGTCAACATGAACATATAGGCTTCAGGTGTGGGTTTCTATGTTACAAGTCCTGTATATTGCACCGTGTGCCCACCACCCAAAGTCCAATCTTCTCCTGCCACTTTATATTAGGACCCCCACACCCTTCCCTCTGGGAACCACCGCACAGCTGTTTGTGTTCACCAGTTTCAGTTTTATATCCCACAAGAATGTTTAACACATGCAATACCTAACTATTTAGTCAGGGGCACTGACCTCTTTTCCCTTAGATTGTCAAATAAAAAAAATGACAACAACCAATTCAACAATAGCCGTCCGGCATGAATGAATCAAAATTATGCCTATTTTCTTTTGTTATATCGGCAAAAAATATGATACATTTTTCGATGTGCCACAGAATTTTAGTAATTAGTTTATGTGTGTCAGGAGATGAAAAGGGTTGAAAATCGCTGGTCTAGGTGATGGGATTTGGTTTTATCCTTTTAGGCATTTTCTATAATGAGTACAGATTATTTTTACGGTTGGGAAAAACAACGCATTGTTTAAAGTCTTTTCCGATATTGTAGACAGAGCTCTCCTGGCCTGCAGTCCCCCCTCACTCCAGCCCTGCTCCGATGCAGACCGCTGCTGGGGGCAGGGGGTAGGCCCCTGTATTGCCCTGAGCAGGCCTTCCGGCACTTACACTTCGAGCCTATACCATTTATACTATCCTGGCTTTGCCACTAACTGGCTGCGGGACTGTAGACAAGCCATTTTATTTATCTGGGTTTGGGTGGAGGGGTGCTCATTTATAACATGAAGTGCCTTGATTTGATGATATAAGGGTTAGATTCTGATTCTGTGATTCTGATAAACATACTGAGTCAAAGTACTCGTGAATAGGACTCCATGATTTCCTCTTCTCCACTGAGATTCTTGTCTATAGTTAAAGGAGTGGCTCTCTAATGATGGTGGAATTTACTAGTAACATCAGATTGCGAATCCCCTACACCCAAAAACTGGCCTTATTGCTCTCTGCAGTTCACATGTTCTAGACATTATCTGGCCCTTGTGAGAGAGTCAGGGTCCCTTCCCCACCAGTGTCTGACCCAGAGAGGGAGAGGAGGGGAGGGGAGGGGAGGGGAGGGGAGGGGAGGGGAGGGGAGGGGAGGAGAGGGGAGGGGAGGGGAGGAGAGGGGAGGAGAGGGGAGGAGAGGGGAGGAGAGGAGAGGAGAGGAGAGGAGAGGAGAGGAGAGGAGAGGAGAGGAGAGGAGAGGAGAGGAGAGGAGAGGAGAGGAGAGGAGAGGAGACAAGTTCCTGGGTCCTGAGCTGCCTTCCCTTCCCTGCTCCCTTCCCTGCGTCAGCTGTTCATAACTTTCTGTCTGCTTCCTCTGTCTCCACCCTCTTCCCTGTGGTGGAGTTGGGCTTATGTCAGTGTGGTTCCCTGGTAGGCTGATGGCTCAGCCACCGCAGCCAGGGGAGGTGGGGGATGACTCATGCCCTGGGGTCAGTGAGTCAGACTTAGGGTGGGCTGGCCCAGGGGCTGTCCTAGGACAGAAACCAGGTTCTAAGTATACAGATGCCTGGCTCCTTCCGGAGGGGCACCGCCAGCAGAGAGAACCAATCTTTCTGTGAACTCACTCGGGAACTCTTCTTGCCAAAGAAAATGCCACCCCTTCTGAGCCTCAGAAGGTTGTGTTTGGGTAAGACTAAAACAACCTGTATGCCAACTGCCTGCTCCCCTGGCATCTGGGAGGAAGAAGGAGAACAACAGCTTAGTTAGAGCCAAAGGAGATAAGAATTTCCCATTCCGACTTCTCATGTCCTAGGGTTCAGCTCACAATGTTTCAGAGCTGGAGTATTCCTTCTTCCTCTTCCCTGCCCAGGAACTGAGGAGCAAGTGCATTCACGCTGCCCTGGAGTTAAACTGGGGGCCTTGGGCAAGTTATTTAACTGCTCCAAGTTTCAGCTTCCTTGGCTGGAAAGGATGGGATAATAAACTCACCTCATGGGTTGCTGTGCATTAACTAAAACCTAGCACCCACCACAGGCCTGGCTTCAGAAGGTGCTGAGACAATCTTCATGCAGAAACCCAGTGGAAGCACCATTGCTTTGGGACTGGCTGCAAGATCTAAAGTCAGTCTGTGCAGAAGGCTGACGGGTCGTGTACCCCCCACCCCCCGCGTCTCACGTGGTTTAGGTGTCAGCTCCAGGCTGGTTTTGACAGGCACAGCTGGTTTTCCACAGCTTGAGGCACCTTCTCCCAATCTAGAGCCTTCTCTTCCCTTTTAGGCATTTGGGGCCTTTCCCTTCCCGGTGAGCCATCCTAACAGTGTGCTTCAGCGGGCAGTGGAAATAATGAGCACAACGACTGTGTCCTAAGGATTACTAGACAGAATCGGTACTACTGAGGTTTCCTTTTGTTTCAGGTGCCTATATGGTCTGCTATTGATTCAGTCGTCATTTACAAATTTGATATTTTCTTCATGAATTTTTGCATTAAAATGTTATTTATTTAGAGTACGGAGTTCCTTGGCACTCCCTTAAATTTTGCACCTAAGGATTAAATCTTCAGCTGTAGCCCTTTGGGGAGGGATGTATTTGGGGGGCAGAGGGTCCCCGCAGACTGTGCCTGCTTCCTTAAACCTGTGACCTTGCTAATGGGAGCTTTTCTCTGCCCCCACCAGAGGCCAGGATAAGTTCCTAGCCTGGTGCCACCCCATCCACTCTCGCACCCCCATTTCAATTGAACTCAGGGATGACTCTAGATCAGTGATTTTCAGCCAGTGTGCCATAAGAATTTTTAAAACATGCAAAAAACTGACTGTTTAGTCAGGGGCACTGAGCCCTTTTCTCTTAGGTTGTCAAGTAAAAAAATGACAACAGCCAACACAATAGCTGTGGAGTCTTGAACTGTAATTACTAGTATATAGATCATACAATAGAGCACATCTTACTGGTCATGTCACATAATAAGGTTGCATCTGATTGGTTAATTCTTGGTGCCAGAAACCCCTATATACTCTTATAGGCACCTGGTTTTTTTAAAAAGTCACTTTGGAGCAAATAGGGTAGGTAGGTAATTACTCTTATTTTTTTTGTAAATCAATCAAAATTATGCCTACTTTTTTTTGGCAGATCGGCAAAAAATATATTTTTTGGTGTGTCGCAGAGTTTTAGTAATTAGTTTATATGTGTCATGAAATGAAAAAGGTTGGGAATCGCTATTCAAAACCCTTGAAATCTTTTCAGTTCCGTTTAATTCCATAACTATTACTCAAGGGCAGTATCCTAAGTGCCAGGCAAGCACCTGGTTAAGGCTGGGGGAGGAGGAAGATGGGCAGAGACAGAAAAAGTAGGAGGCACAGTGCGCCCGCCCTGGGGCGCCTGGACGGGGCGCCCTGCCCAGTGGAGAGAGCTGAGGCGGGAAGGCTCCAGGGGGCGGCTCCAGGCGGCAGACTCTGTACCCTCAGGACTAACCTGGGCACCTGGGGAGGGCGCGGAGGGGGACGTCAGGGATCCCAACCAGGTCTGACTTCCTCCCTGGGCGACCGGGCGCCCAGGTTCTGGACGCCGGCCAGGGAGGCGGCACCGCGCGGGTCCTTGGCGCTTCCTGCGCGCGGGGGACGCGGAGGAGGAGCGCGGAGGAGCCTGCGGCGCGGGGACAGCGCACCGGGAGGGCTCGCAGGTGGCGACATGGAGGACGGCGGCGTGCTCAAGGAGGGCTTCCTCGTCAAGAGGGTGAGCGCCCGGAGCCTCTCCGGACGGACTTTGCCCAGGGCGGCTGGTGGGCGGGCCCCCGCGCACCTGAGCGGCGTCCCCAGCTCGGCTCCAGGGCGGATCGGGCGCCTGGGGCTCTGCGGGCAGAGCTGTGTCTGCGGGGAGAGCCGGCGGACAGCTTTCTACGGAAAAAGGCCGGGGCACAGGCCAGGCCAGTCCCGATTAGCGTGGATGGGGTGCGGGTGGTGGCCACCGAAGCGGCTGTCGTAATGACAACTTATTGAAGTAGGTAGTATTTCAATCTGATGGATTGAAGCAACGTAAACGTGCCTGTAGTTGACAGTGCCCATCCATGTAATTCCCGCCTATACGCTTCACAGTAACCCAGGAGCAAGGAGGGAGCCTGTGCTTCTTAAGCGTGTACCGTGTGTGTGTGTGTGTGTGTGTGTGTGTAGGGGGTGGGGGACGACACTGTCTCCTTCAGTCCTCCCACAGGTGGTACCACATGATCCCCCTTCTCCAAGGGGAACACACAGCGCACAGAGGCGGGGTAACTGGCTCAGGTTCTGGGTGCTAGTGCGTGATGGAGAGGATTACACCCACTCAGGTCTAGGCCAAAACCTTTCCCGCCCCCCGCAGGGTGGGCGTCGTTATCGCTCTATCACAGACGAGGAGACCGAGGGTTAGAAATACGAAATCCTCCACCCAGAACCCCAGGGCCAACCGCAGATAGGACTGGCCCCTCCATCCCCAGCGCTTCCCCATCCGCCCACGTGGCCTTTCCCACAGCAGGCAGGAGTCCAGACAAAAACGGGGCACTGGGTTAGGGTAGAAAATGATAAAGCCCCTCTAGCATTGGTGTTCATGCTCGGCATTTTTGCTAACATAGCAGCAGACCATAAAAGCTGGGGGCGAGCCTCTGGCCCTCTGTTGAGTTTACAGAGTTGGGAGGGGCTGACAGAGCGGGATGGCTGTGCTCTCCTTCCCATTGCCGCCTTGGGTGGCCAGATCGGCCCTGGAGTCTTCATGTCCATAGGTGATGCAGCCTGCCATGTTACACCTTGTTTGACGGAGGAGGGTGGGTGTGTTGTTTGCTCAAAACTGTAAGTAGGAGTGCTAATGCCGGATCAAGGGTCAGATTGCATTCAAGCAGGTACAAAATTCCACTCCTGCTTCATGCCACTGCCATTAAAGCCATAGGCTGGTGCCTTATGGTTTGTGGAGGCAGCTTCTGAAGTTTGAGGGAAGGTGTTGAGCTGGGCAGGGGGTTTTGCTGGGCATCACTGATTGTTGGGAAGCTGGGTCCTGGTAGGGGCCTGTGGAGGACAGACTCCCTCAGAATGCCCCTTGTGGGTCTCCTCCCCCGCTCCCCCGCCCCCCACATTCCCAGGAGTTAGCTTACGGGATTCCCCCCCTGCGGCCAGGCAGAGTCAGGGGACAAGAGGAGAGGGTGTGAGTTCTCTTCTGCACAGGCTGCCAGTCCTGCGTGTCCGGCTCACAGAGTCCAGGGTGCAGAGAAGTGAGGACAGTCCACAGGTCTGACCCCAAAAACACCCCGTGGGGGCTTGGCTGAAACACATAAAGCTCATTCAGCTGTAGGAGGGTTTGGGTTCAGAGGTGGGCAGGGCCGTCGCTGGGAGCCCAGAGCACAGAACAGTCATCACGCTGAGGGTGAAGCAGGGGCAGGCAGGGGCATGAAGGGTTTGGCTCCTAATTCTGCCCAGACAAGAAAGAAGCAGAACTCCAGGCAAAACGCAGGCTGCTCACTAGGCCTGGCTTTGAAGGAGGGGTGGGGTGGGGGGAGGAAGCCAGGTTCAGCGTGGGTAGGACCGCTTTTCCTTTCAGAAGAGGCGGGAGCACTTCAGACATTGCTGCCCCCTTCATTCCTTGAATAGCACGCTTAGAAAATGGCAAGGTTAACATGCTTTGGCCTAGAAATTTCATTAGTCGGGCTCTATCCCCAGGAAACACCATAAAAGGCTTATGAACAAAGTGTTGGGTATGTAGTGAAAAACTGGAAACTACCTATATACCTCCTCCCCCAAATAGACAAATGATTAAGGAAATGATCTTTAAAATGTTCATAATATTATAACTTAAAGAGTAAAAATACTAAAGGTATAAGTAAGGGGAAATGTACGGAGCAGAGAAAAGTCTAAAAGGAGTTCTGGAGGCTAGAAGTCTGAAATCAAGGGTTTCCTCCTGAAACTAGTAGGGGAGGATGTGTCCTTGCCTCTTCTGCTTCTGGCATTTGCAGGCTGTCAAGGAAACACCCAGATTTTTTTCCTTCCAATGTAGGGAGAAACCTGGTTTCTCTTTCTCTCCCTCTCTTTCTCTCTTTCTCTCTTCTCTTCTCTTCTCTTCTCTTCTCTTCTCTTCTCTTCTCTTCTCTTCTCTTCTCTTCTCTTCTCTTCTCTTCTCTCTCTCTCTCTCTCTCTCTCTCTCTCTCTCTCTCTCTCTCTCTCTCTCTCTCTCTCTCTCTCTCCTGTGAGTCTCCTTTACTTTTGCACAGAACACTCCACTGCTGACACTTCTGGTCACCAAATGTTTTTCCCCACCAAGCAATTCTCTGTGACACCCGCTGGGTATCCTACAATTTAACTCAATTCTGACACAGTCGACACAGAGATAGTATCAGGTTCCACAGGCTGAGGGCTCAGTCCCACAAGACTGCCCATCCCCCTCCCCTCACCCCCCCCCCCCCCCCACACACACACACTTCAGCTGTAGTCACAGGCCTGGTGGGAAGTCCCAATGTCCCGCTCCTTGGATTTGATTAATTTGCTAGAGTGGCTCCCAGAACTCAGGGAAACACTTACTTATGTTCACCAGCTTATTTTATTTATTTTTTAAAATATATTTTTATTGATTTCAGAGAGGCAGGGAGAGGGAGGGAGAGATAGAAACATCAGTGATGAGAGAGAATCATTGACTGGCTGCCTCCTGCAAGCCCCGCACTGGGGATTGAGCCCACAACCTGGGCATGTGCCCTTGACCGGAATTGAACCCAGGACCCTCCAGTCCACAGGCCGACGCTCTATCCACTGAGCCAAACCGGCTAGACCAGCAGTTTATTAAAGTATATGCTAAAGGATACGATAGCCAGATGGACGAGACGCACAGGGCAGGGTATATGGGAAGGGGTGTGCACTTCTAAGCCCTCTCCCAGCACACCACTCTCCCAGTGCTCACCACCCAGCCGCTCTCGGAGCCCGGCCTGTGGGGATTTTTATGGAGGCTTCATCTCACAGGCACGATTGATCATTAACTCCATCTCAGCCCCTTCGCTGTCTCAGGAGAATGGGTGTGCCGGGCTGGAAATTCCAAGCTGCTCCTCCTGGCTTGGTCTTTCCGGTGATCAGCCCCTATCCAGGAGCCATCAGGAGCCCACCCAGAGTTGCCTCATTAGAATAAAGACACTGACATCACCGGGGAAATTACAAGGGTTTCAGGAGCTCTGTGCCAGGACCCGGGGCAGAGACCAATATATGTATTTTCTGTGATCTCACGCAGGCAATCCTCGGTGTCCGTTGGCTTGGAGGTGCAGCTCCCCAATCTCTGCCTCCATCGTCACATGACCATCTTCTCCCCGCGTGCCTCTCAGTGCATAAATTGTCCTGTTTCTATGAGGACACCAGTCCTATTAGCAGCGCTGGGACCACCCTAACCCCATGTAACTTTATCTCAACCTGATTACATCTGCAAAGACCCTATTGCCAGATGAGATCCCACTCTTAAGACTTCAATGCCTTTTGCGGGGACATAATTCAACCCATAGCAAGTAGCATATCTGCTTCTTTGCGGTTGTAGGGTCTTGGGCAAGACCTTTCTGAGGCTGTTTCCTCATCATGACAGTTCAGAGTACAGGCTTTTTCAAAGGGTCCCTCCAGCTGTAACTTTCTGTCCGAGGGTCCCCATCCAGCTTATAGACTCGCTCCTTCCCCTGAAGAAGCTTTAGGGGCTCATGAGTTAGCCGGCTTCTGGCCCCAGCCAGCCACTTGCAGACAAGGAGCGGGAGGTGGGAAACTGCCCAGGTGGAGGGCCTTGTGCAGCTTCTCCCACTGTGTTGCCAGCCTCTGACCTCCTTTGCCTGGGACTTGGGACCAGGCCCCTGGGGCCTGTGAGCACAGCGAGGCTTCTCTGTAGAGCAGCTGCTCTCATCCCGTCCTGTGGATCGTTGCCGCAGCTCCGGCTGAGCGGCCCGCGTGTGGCTGCTTCATTCCCGCACTGCCACAGCGTGGTCCCCGTCCCGTGACCTTTTTAACAGGAGGACTTATGCTTGTCATCCTTCCGCGTACAAGTCTTCAAAACCTCCCCTCAGGCTGCGATATAAAGATCAAACTCTGCAGCACAGGATCTGAAGCCGACTGACTGGCCCTTCATCCCTTCCTCACAGCCCCTGAGGCCCAGCCCCCTCCCTCCGAACTATTTGGAGTTTTCCAGATTCGCAGCAGTTTTCTGCTCTCCCCTCCTGCCCTCCTAACCTGGCCCACTCCTCACAGCCTTCAGCGCTCAGCCCAGGATCCGCTCCTCCTCCACCTGGGGTCTGCATCACGCCCTACATTGATTATCTGTTATTGTGTAACAATTACCCCAAAGCTTAATGTCTCAGACAAAAAGCATTTATCACCCCACACAGTCTCTAAGGGTCAGGTAATCCGGACCAGCTCAGCGGCCAGATTCTGGCTCAGAGACGCTCATGAGGCTGTAGCCAAAATGTTGCCCAAGGCTTGGCTGGCTGGAGGACCCCTGTCCAAGCTCACTCACATGGGTAGTGGCTGGAGCCTCAGTTTCTACTTCACTCTGCATAGGGGCTGCTCACAATGTGACAGCTAACTTTTCCCAGAGGGGGGGGTGGGGGATGGAGGGGGGGCAGGAGAGAGAGAGAGAGAGAGAGAGAGAGCCCAAGTCTATAGCTACAGAGTCTTATAACCTGATGTCAGCAGGGACAAACCACCACTCTGCCATATTCTCTTGGTCACGCAGACCAACCCCTGAACCGTGTGGGAAGAGACTGCACAGGGTGTGAATACCAGGAGGTGGGAATCGTGGGGGGCATCAGTCATCTGTCCCGGAACTCACCACACTGAGTGGGGTCATCATCCGTCTCCCCCACTGTCTTGGGTCAGATGTTCATCTCGGTGTCCCTGCTACCAGCACGGTGCTTGGTGCAGTAGCATTTAGTCACTGGTTGTTGAATGAAAAGATAAATGAATGAATGCTTTCCCTAATCATCTTGTCAGGATTTTTGTTTATTTGAATTTAAATTCATTTTCCATTATAAAAATAACACATGCATATTATTTTTAAAAAACTGGAGCCCTGACCGGTTTGGCTCAGTGGATAGAGTGTCGGCCTGCGGACTCAAGGGTCCTGGGTTCGATTCCGGTCAAGGGCATGTGCCTTGGTTGCGGGCACATCCCCAGTGGGGAGTGTGCGGGAGGCAGCTGATCGATGTTTCTCTCTCATTGATGTTTCTAGCTCTCTATCCCTCTCCCTTCCTCTCTGTAAAAAATCAATAAAATATATATTTTTTAAAAACTAGAAATATAAGGGTGGGGAATGAAAAATAAGTTTCCATTTTAAGTCCCCGCATCCAGTCTTAATGCCTAGAGAGGATGGGCACTAACATTTTGGGGGAATCCTTCCAGAACTTTTCTAAAATAACAGTAGAGTTGTTTTTGGGTCTCATATGAAGTGATGCAAGTAAGAGTGCTTTGCTCACGACAGAGGCCATGGCTGCGCTGGGTCTGACCTGGGGACCCCCCCCCCCTCCGGTGGCCTCTCCTGCCATCTGTGAGGCTGGCATCCCTCCACGGCAGCCACACAGTATTTACTGTTACACATCAGAATATTTTGCATGTTTTTATGCTGGTAAGTTATGATCCTTTGATGGTCTCAGTACATAAAACCTAACGTTTACTTAGCACAGGTCCCCGTACGTGGGATTATTGGGTCACAGAATCTGAACATTTTTTACAAGGACCACCAGCTGCTCTGAGTTTTCTACTTACATAGTAAATCCCTCTCACCGGCCTTTCTCCTCAGCCCTCTCTCCTTTGCCAGCAGTCAGGACTCTTAGCTGCTTATAACACACACCACTGGCGAGTTTGAACAGTAGGGGTTTCACAGAGAATAATAAATATTAAGGAACTCAGCAGTATTTGGGAGGGCCCGAGAACCTGGCTGGGATGCCATACAGCCAGGGATGCTGCAGCCAGACAAAAATGCCCAACAGCCCCCCAGACGTGGGAACCACGGCTGCCACTGCCACTTGTGACGATAACCCTGGGGCTGGTGGCAGAACCGCATCTGTTCTTCCAGACGTCCTTGCCACAACTTCCTGTTTCCCGTGTTTGGTTGCTGCCAAACAGGCTTCAATGCACGTGACTGGCAGCAACTTGGTCAGCTACCTGCTCCCTTTGTGCCAGGGATTCTGGGAAATGTAGCATGTTGTCCAGGAAGGAACAATACCTCCTTATTGGCTTGTTCTGCTCAACCTCAGCTGGTTACACTTTTCTCTGTAACATCTCCTGCCTCCTTTTTTCTTTCCCTGGTGATTTATTTAAAAAATACATATTTTATTGATTTCAGAGAGGAAGGGAGAGGGAGAGAAAATAGAAACATCAATGATGAGAGAGAATCACTGATCAGCTGCCTCCTACACCCCCCCCCCCCCACTGGGGGTCGAGCCCACAACCCAGGCATGTACCCTTGACTGAAATTGAACCCAGGACCCTTCAGTCTGCAGGTTGACGCTCTATCCACTCTATCAAACCGGCCAGGGCTTTCCCTGGTGATTTAATTTGCTCGGGCCGCTGTAACAAAATACCACAGACAGGACGGCTTAGACAAGAGGGATTTACTTTCTCCCAGTTCTGGAGGCTAGAGTCCACGATCAAGGTGTTAGCAGGATTGGTTTCCTCTGAGGCCTCTCTCCTCGGCTTGCACGTGGCCACCTTCTTGCTGTGCGTCCACATGGTCTTTCCTCTGCGCACACGTCTCCCTGATGCCTCTGTGTGTGTCCAAATTTCCTCTTGCTCTGAGGACCCAAAACAGGTTAGATTAGGGCCCACCCAAGGCCTTCTTTTAATCTAATCACCTCTTTCAAGGCCTTATCTCCGAATAGTCACATTCTGAGGTAGTGGGGGTTAGGGCTTCAATGTATGATCTTTTTTGGGGGGAGACACATAATTCAGCTCATAACACCTGTGTTTTAAGTTATTTCATCCTTGCCCCTTCTCTACCTCACATCAGCACCCATATCATCAACTTAGATCGCCTTCTCTCACTGCACCAGCCGTAATCTGTGTGCCAGCAATTTGCTGCTGACCCTACTGCAGGGCCCCCCCAGCATCATCGGGACAGGCCAGGGGCAGGGCAGTAGAGAACCCCAACTGCTGAGGAGTCGGAGACAAATCTTTTTTGTTTCTTTAAACTGTCTGACATGCCAGGGAAAGCTGTCAGCTGTCATCTCAGACATGGGCTCTAAGTGCGGGACGGAGGGGAGAGAGCAAAAGTGTCAGGTTCAACCTGACTGCCTGAGCGCTCCCGTGTGAACAGCTTGATCAGCAGGCAGCGTGGGAACACCTGGACAGTAAGGAGCTCCTGTCAGGTGAACTCTGTGAGAAGTCTGATTTCGTTGCCACAGTCAATTCTGTTGGGTGCAGGCCAGTGCTCCCGAGGTCAATACAGTTGTTGTCTCCCCAACAGCACTCAGCACACACCGAGCGCGGCATCGAGTCACAGCAGGCAGGTGTGAGGGCGGCAGGGAATAGGCGCTCGGTGAGGAAATGAGCGAGTAGGGAAATGGTCTCTGATTCAGGTGAAGTGCATCTCTTGGTTAGACTCTAGCGGCTAGATTCTAGCCCGTATCGGGCTCTGCTCCGGAAAACATGCCAAGAAAGTAGATTCATGAGTGTGTTCTAAATCCATTCCTTTCTGATTCCTCAGCAGACATCCCCCCATCCTCTGGCCTGTTCTAGAAACAGGCTCTCTGCCTTCATTGGACTGTGCTATCCATGGGCTCTATGGTCCTTCTGAGAGCTCCCAAACTACCCTGCCTTGTAGGCCTGGCATGGCAGGTAAGACTTGGCATCCTAGCACTGCTAGACCATGTGTGGCTTCGGTTTTACAGATTGCCCACATCCTTTGACTAGCAATAGTCTTTCTAGGAATATATCCTAAGGGAAAAAAATCAGATGCAGATCAAAATTTATATGCAAGGACAGTCATTGCAGAATTGTTTATAAGAGTGAAAAACAAAACAACCTGTTACAAAGGCAGGAGCTTGACAAGTAAACGATGCATCCACCTAGTGGCCATTTAAAAGTATGTTTTAGCCTGTCCGGTGTGGCTCAGTTGGTGGAGTGTCCTCTCCTGGTTCCCCATGAGGGGACGTGCAGCAAACAGCTGATGGATGTTTCTCTCTCATTGATATTTCTCTCCCTCTCTCCTCCTTTCTTCTCTCTGAAATCAATAAAAATATATTTTAAAAATATTTTAGAGAAATTTAATGGTGTGAGACGATACTCAGCAAAGCTCAACAAAACAAAAACCTAGAAAATAAAAGTATATGCAATATAGTCCTGATTTAAAAAACAACTAGAAAGTAAATACTAAAAGGAAAAAAGACTAGAAGGAAATACTGAATGTTAGCAATGTCTGTCTCCTGATAATAGTTAGCAGTGTCTTTCAAGGTTTATAGCCAGAAAAAAGGCCAAGTAGGAATGAGAAGGCCAATGCCTGGAGAATGGCTGGCCACCTGCACCACGGGACCCCTCTCCCTGGACACAGTGTTGTCCCCCAGCCACCTCACCGCAGGGCTCTGCTGTCTGTCCTCAGGGTCACATTGTCCACAACTGGAAGGCGCGATGGTTCGTCCTTCGGCAGAACACGCTGCTGTACTACAAGCTCGAGGGGGGTCGGAAGGTGAACCCTCCCAAGGGCCAGATCCTCCTGGATGGCTGCACCATCACCTGCCCCTGCCTGGAGTATGAAAATCGACCGGTAAGTGAAGGCCGGCTTCCCAGCTCCTCCTTGCCCCGGACCCCTCCCTCCCGGCCTCTGATGAAGGGGGTGTGGGTAACGGGAAGAGCTGAGTTATTGAAAAACCTGGTTCCAATCCTGGCCACACCACATGCCGGGCCTTGGGCAAGTAATGAACCTCTCTGAGCCTTAGCTCCTCGTCTATAAAATGGGATAAAAAATGATGTCCATGTCCCATGGATGCAATGGGATCCTGTAGGCTAAGAGGCACTGAAAAATATGTGAGTCATCAAAGCAATATGATGGCTTTTGTCTCCACGGGGCGTATGTTCCAAAAGCCAGGGGCAGCATCCACCCTACCATCAAAAAAGTGTCTGACTCAATCATTTCTCGAAGGCCCAGTATGTGCCAAGAAATTAGCTAGGCTTGGAGGAGTCGAGGAAGACAATAGTAAGATCGCTTCTTCTCCAGTTAATAATCTTATTAGGAAAGCAAGTGGTTAATCGAAAAACATTCAGCGTTTCAAAGGGTGGTTCCAACATTACTAGCCATACAGAGCACTGTATCCACAGAGGAGGGAGCCCGTTGGGTCAGGTGTGGCTTTGCGAGGAATGGAGATGGGGTCAAAGATCTAGAAGAGGAGAGAGGCAGACGTTCCAGGCAGGTGGACGTTCCAGTCTTGAGTAGAAGTGCGGGGAGAGGGAGGAGTGGGTTTGGAGAGGAGGATGGCCCGTGTGGCCAAGCAAAAACGCTCCCTGAGGGAGCCGTGGAGAGTGGCGGGGGCCCCGTGGAGGGAATGGGGAGCCACTGAAGGTTTTGAGTGAGAGAATGGACTGGTGAAAACTGTTAGGAAGACTAACAGGAGGAAGGAAGCTCCGTTCCTAGTAAGATTGTTAGATCCATAAAGAAGGTACCTTACGTCTGAGTGCCGGCCCGCTGGCTGTCTCTCCCCGCAGCTCCTCATTAAGCTGAAGACTCGCACATCCACAGAATACTTCCTGGAGGCCTGTTCCCGGGAGGACAGGGACGCCTGGGCCTTTGAGATCACAGGGGCGATCCACGCTGGGCAGCCGGGGAAGGTCCAGCAGCTCCACATACAGAGAAACTCCTTCAAGCTGCCCCCTCACATCAGCCTGCAGTGAGTGCCTGGCCCCTGTCCGCGCTCTGCCTGCCTCTGCTGCGGCCTCTCCCTCTGTGTGCGATGGGGAGGGGGCTCTGTTGTTGCTAATGGGCCTGGCTGCTTCCACCAACGTGCTTCAGGGCCTTTTGCTGTCACTGCCCTGTTTGTATTATTTTCTCTGCCTGGGAACGGCCCTGCTCCTACGTAACCCTTACCCTTTGGGGCCTCGGCTGCTTCAGCCCACCTTGGCGTCTTGAGAGCCTCCCTCCAGTTTCAGCCAGGTGCTCAGGGCTACGGCACAGCTCCAGGAACCTCCACTCACCAATCGTGGGCATGTTCTCCCCCTGGTGGCAAGAATGATGTGTTCTGGAAGCAGTTGCATTCTTGCCCTGTAGTGTTCCTCATCTACTCATTCATTCACTCAAGACATAGTTCTTGAGCGCCTACTGCACTAGATCCTCAGGAGATGCAAATGGGGATAAACAAGGTCCTGTCTCAAGGGCTTCCCAGCCCAAGTACACAACCAGCAAATGAGAAAAGGCCTTCCATTGGTGGCAGGAATCATCCCACAGAATAGCAGGAAAGCAGGTCGGCAGTGGAGGCAAGAGTGTAAAGTGGGGGTGTATGAAAGGAGCTCCCATCATGTAAACTTGCAACAGCCCGTTTACAGGAAAAACTCCTAACCCCCAAGCAGCAGAAGTCACAGCTCTTTAGTTTTACTACAAAAGCAATAACTGTCTAGAATAGAAATATTAGAACATTCAGATGAGCATGAAAAAAAACACACATCTAAAATTCTACTACCTCTCACATTCTGCCCCCTCTTTTCTTTGTGGTGCGTATCGCACCGTTTGCCACTTGCTCACTACCCGTAGGCCCTTTCTCCTATCTGTCAGTGTGATGAGGGGCCCCTGTCCTTGCCTTCCTCCCGTGTAGTCGCATCGTGGACAAGATGCACGACAGCGGGAGTGGAATCCGGCCAAGCCCCAACCTGGAGCAGGGAAGCACCTACAAAAAGACCTTCAATGGTGAGCCTTCCTTCTCGGGGGGGAAGTGGAAACCTGGGGCGTGGTGAACTGGGATGTAGTTGTGCTTGACCAGCTTGTGTTGAGGCCAGAGCTGCCTGCTGGCCAACAGGCTGGCCTGAGATGGCCACGTGTGGGGGTGGCCACAGCTCCACGTAGCAGGGGTGGCCATTGGTCTGCTCTTGTGCAGAGCCCCAAGGCCGTCCAGGAGGTCCACGTCAATGAGGACACAGCCAGGCCCCCCACCCCAGGACTCTGGTCGGTAGGCTGTGGTCTGACTGGCGCTGCCCTTGCTCTGATGCAGGCTCCTCCCTGGTGGACTGGCTCATCTCCAACGGCTTTGCAGCCAACCGTCTGGAGGCCGTGACCCTGGCCTCCATGCTCCTGGAGGAGAACTTCCTGAATCCAGTAGGCGCCCGGAGCATGGGAGCCGTGCGCTCTGGGGACCTGGCCGAGCAGTTCCTGGATGACTCCACGGCCCTGTACACCTTTGTAAGTTATGGAGAGGGTTCCTATGGCCACCAGGGCAGAGGGGAGGGGGCGGCCTCAGAGTGGGGGCAAGGGGTCCACAGTCAGGGGTGAGGCCTCGGATTGCGCGGACAGCTTCACCCCCAGGTGGAATGGGTTTCTCTGTGAAGGATTTTCCTTTTTCCCATGGTAGCCCCCACAGCCTGTAACTGGGACTTTTTGTGACAGAATCCTTGTTTTCTTCCCACGAGGCTGAGAGCTACAAGAAGAAGATAAGTCTCAGGGAAGACATTAATCTGAGCACCATGGAGTTGAGTGGCACGGTGATAAAGCAAGGTTATCTGGCCAAGCAGGTATGGCTGCCTTGGAGTGGGCATGGACAGTCTCAGCCTCAGGGGAGGCGGGAATTTCCCAAAGGGTGGGAAGGGCTGAGGCTGCTGGAGGCACTAATTATCAGCAGGATGAACTAAAGCAGGGTCCAGCAGCTGCCACCGGGAGCAGGACAAGGGGATGCATGTGCCCATCCTCACCCCTCCCTCATCCCCTGACCACCCCCCCCCGCACACCCACACACTCTCCCAACCCCGCCCCCCCCATGAGTCCCAGACACCGGGGTGTTCAGGGAAAAGGTACACACAGTAATAACGGCAACATTAAAAAATGCCTTCGTTCATATGTGTCCGGAGGGCATTGCCTCCTGGGTTGGTGGTTGCATCTGCTGCCTTCTGCTCTCTGAGGCTTTCTGGGGTCTCTGCCTTCTTTTGTGGGACTCTGCACGCCCCCTCGATACACTTTCCGGACAACCCACCTCAGGAGGTTGAAGATGGAATTTTACAGGGTCATCTCAGTGTCTGAAAACTGACCATGGCCACCACTCCCCGCCGTGTTTGGGAGGGCAGCCCTGTCAAGCAGGAGACAGCATGTCACGGCATTTCTACCTGTGCCTGACAGAAAGGCTGTCCGGGAACAGAAGGACTGTGTGATGGCGCAGGCAGTGTCCGCGGGCCTCTGCACGGCCCCTGTGTTGGTGTGCACCTCACACACGTGTGCACGTGCCTGTCTGTGCCACGGACACGTGTGCTGCGCAGCACCATTCCCGTTGTAACCCAGAGCACCTGTGGCTGTCACCTGTTTCTTGTACACGAGGATCCCCATCTGCTCTCAGATTATTTACTTTATGAAACTGCCCGACGGGAGGCCACGAGGAGGGCGTGGGAGGGACTCGGTGTTCCAGACTGGAGGGGGAAGGAAGCTTTGTGATCTAGGGGGTGATGCCAAAGGGAGTCATACACTCGTCTATATCTTTTTATTTTATTTTTTATTTTTATTGATACCAGAGAGGAAAGGGGGGGGGGAGAGAGAAACATGAATGATGAGAGAGAATCATTGATTGGCTGCCTCCTGCACGCCCCCCAGCCCGCAACTCAGGCATATGCCCTTGACCGGAATCAAACCTGCGACCCTTCAGTCTGCAGGCCGATGCTCTATCCACTGAGCCAAGCTGGCTAGGGCTCGTCTATATCTTACACATTTAGATTGTAGCACCTAATTGATCTTCCTTACTTTTCTGCTGCAGAACGGTAAAGTGGTTTTTACTGTAAATGTGTGCATGCGTGAGCACGCAGCTGTAGGTTTGTTTGGGGAACAAGTTGACGCTTGACTTGGTGCCCTTGGGTTCAACTTCGCCCGTGAGCGCTCAGTCCAGTGGCACCTGCTGCCTCCCTGTCCTCCTTGTGTCCTAAGGGGTGTCGGGGAATGTCCTCCTTTCCTTCAGCACTGACCCTCCCTCTTCGGCTCTGTCGACTCAACTACAGGGGACAGTGTTTTTGCTAAGTGTCCCTGAGCAGGGACCTCCGTGACACATCACTGCCATCCTTGGGCTCCGGCAGGCTCTTCTTAGAAAGTGGTCCCATGGAGCCAGCGGGCTTGGAGGTTTGGCATTCGATACAAGAAGTGGGAGGGAGGGACTCAGAGCTGTCACCCAGCGGCCTTGGCCCTTTCTTGACCGCAGGGCCACAAGAGGAAGAACTGGAAGGTGCGGCGCTTTGTTCTGAGGAAGGAGCCGGCTTTCCTGCATTACTACGACCCTTCCAAAGTGAGTACCGTGCGGTCACTTGGTACCCGGGTGAGGCTTCCAGATTCTTCTCTCCCAAGCATCCCAGGCAGCTGGCTCCACATCCTTCCTTAACTCAGCATCCCTACCATAACTTCCGCCATACTAGGCCTGTCCTCCCACAACCCAGCTACTCTTAAAAGGGAGGGTTGCTCTTTGATTTCATCACGTCATTGCCTGCTCCGTGAATCTTCATTATTTTGTGAGGAAAAGCATCTTTTAGTCTCTCCAAAGCTTGCCATGTGGCTGGGGAGGAGAGGGGCTGGCCGACGCCAACCTGGTGCTTCCCAGCTCTTCACCCCTTTCTCTCCACAGATCCCAGGGATTCTGTTTCCTCAACCGCTAGTCTCCACCAATGTTTTGCAAACTTTCTTTTACTATTTAATATTTAAGCCATAATTTACTAATTTTATTTTTTTTTCTAAATGATTGAAGAATTGCTATTCTGAGTTTCAGATAATACTAGTATTGCATGCTGAGTTTATCTAATTTCAGTCAAAAGTGGAGAAAAATGGCTTTTCAGATGGCCTGTCCAACCTTGACTTTGGAAGATGTAGGAAATTCATTCATTTTTTTGAAAGAGTGGAGCCTGGGCCGTTCCTTCCTCACTGAGCTTGTCAGGATGTGAAGGAGCATGAAGGAGGCCCTGGGGCCCTGACAAACCACAGCGGGAGCCGAGGGTCAGGGAGGGCTGTGGCCTGCTGTAGCTGGTGAGAAACAGAGTCCAAACTCCCTCACCCGTGCTTGTAGGTTGGCTGCAAGAAGGCCAAGTTCGTTATACATGACTCGCCGACTTCTTTGGCCGGCACAGCTGAGGGTGGTTATAGGCGAGAGTGCGGCTCTTCCCTTCTGTCCATTCACAATTCCTAACAGGTCTCCTTCCCTCTGCAGGAAGAGAACCGGCCAGTGGGTGGGTTTTCCCTTCGGGGTTCACTCGTGTCTGCTCTGGAGGACAATGGCGTTCCCACCGGTAAGGTCCAGCGTTGGCCCCGGCCTGAGATCTCAGGCCTCCCTCCTGCACTCTCAATAATGCTCTGCCGACGAAGGACTGAGCTGTGGGAGCTGAGTAGGGCTTTCTCAATGAGACCATGAATGGTGTGAGTTTTGAAGCCAGTTTCAGAATTAGAGAAAAGGGCCTGTGTTCTTAGTGTTTTAACAATATAGCTGTATAATCCTTGTCTTTAATACTTTCCCCTCAGTTTCTCTGTTTACTGGTCCATAAGCTTCCACCTAAGAATAATATTAGCTTACACAGTGTTTAAGGGTGAGGGACACACTTTATTTATTTATTTTAAACTTTTAAAAAATACATATATTTTATTGATTTTTTTACAGAGAGGAAGGGAGAGGATAGAGAGTTAGAAACATCGATGAGAGAGAAACCGATCAGCTGTCTCCTGCACACTCCCCACTGGGGATGTGCCCACAACCAAGGTACATGCCCTTGACCAGACTCAAACCTGGGACCCCTGAGTCTGCAGGCTGACGCTCTATTCACTGAGCCAAACCGGTTAGGGCGGAACACACTTTAATATCTATTGTCACACTAACCAGCTAGGGTAGGAAGATAGTATCGTTCCCATTTTATGGATGTAGAAATTGAGGTTCAAAGAAGTTAAATAGTTTAAAGTCAAATCCTAAATCTGTGCCTTCTCTTTATATAAACACTAGAGGCCCAGTGCACGAAATTTGTGCAGTGGGTGGGGGTGGTCCCTCAGCCTGGCCTGCACCCTCTCCAATCTGGGACCCCTCGGGGGAAGTCTCACAATCTGGGACTGCTGGCTCCTAACCACTTGCTTGCCTGCCTGCCTGATTGTCCCTAACCACTTCTGCCTCCAGCCCGATCGCACCCTAACCGCTCTCCTGCCGGCCAAGTCAATGCCTAACTGCTCCCCTGCCGGCCTGATCACCCCCGACTGCCCTCCCCTTCCGAGACCTGCCTCCTCCGCTGGGACCCGCCTCCTACGTGAGGCGGCGGAGACGCTGGGACTGGCCTCCTCCACACTGTGCGGAGCTGTGAGACCCCCCGGGCCTCACCACACAGAGTGGCCCCCGGGCCCGCCTCTGCTGTGCACGTGGCCATCTTGTGGCAGCCAGCTTTGTGGTGGCCATCTTGTGACGATGTCCCGCGTGAGGGCGTGACGCCACCTAGGCTTTTATTAGTATAGATACTAGATTCTTTGATGTGAACGAAATTGTAGATCTAGGGTTAGCATAGGTAGCAGGCCACGAAGGCTTCCAAGAATGTCCAGACAGCTTGGCCGGAGTGGCTCAGTGGTTGAGCATCGAACTGTGCCCCAGTTTCGGGCCCAGTGGGGTGCATGCAGGAGGCAGACAACCAATGATTCTCTCTCGTCATTGATGTTTCTCTCTCTCCCTCTCTGAAATCAATAAAAACACTTTAAAAAATTGTCCAGACATACCACTGGCAGGCCTTAAGGCACAGGCAAAGGAGAATGGGAGGGAGGAAAAGAAGAAAGCACCACGCATCTGGTGGGATTCCCTAACCATGTACATTTGTATTTAACAAATACTTCATTATTTGTTTTTGTCTGTATCTCAGTTATTTTCCGCTGCTTCCAGCTGAAAGCAGACATGGATATTTACTCACTGATTTTTTTCTGCCCAGGTGTTAAAGGGAACGTCCAGGGAAATCTCTTCAAAGTGATTACTAAGGACGACACACACTATTACATCCAGGCCAGCAGCAAGGCTGAGCGGGCCGAGTGGATCGAAGCTATCAAAAAGCTAACATGACGGGGACCTGAGAGACCAGGACCAGGATTCCTCCCACCTACCCGATGACACTGACAGGGGTTCCCAGAAAATGAGAGTTAATGTAACTTTGTTTATTTTGTACTGTTTTGGAGTGAGTCTACTGGAGTTTCCTAGATTACAATGGGCAACGGTGCTGTTTCCTTCCCCACCTTCATGTTAACAACCTGGAAACGCTAGAACAGCCATTAGGCGTCAGCATGTTGACTTTCGCCAATCATCACAGCCGGCCATTCCTTGGGCACCAAAGTAGGTTTGCCTTATAACACTAACTGGCCACATTATATTACTAAATAAAGCTAGTCTCACGGCACTGCCTCTGAAATGCTGTCAACAGCTATTAACTCCTTCTTTAGGATTAATAAAAATTGGCATTTGTTTCTGGCTATTAGAATTCCCTTCCAAAGTTTCAGTTTTCAAATGTTTTTCATGCTTGAGACTATAGGAAGCAAGTGAGGTGATTGTGAAGACACCTCAAGTGATCTCTGTGACTAAGACATGCTTCATCGCAAAGTGGGATGGTGGCAAAATTTTGCTTGAACATTCATAGAATATTGTTTTCCTTTGAAAAATAAGCTTGTATTAAGTATTACACATCACAGAAAAAGCATGGACTCAGTTGAAGAGATTAGTCACACATACTAAAAAAGGGTAAAATTATAGCTTTCCTTGGAAAATACCATATAGAAAGAAGCAGAACAGAGCTCTCTAAAGGACAGAGAAAGATATAAATAGGAAAAGAGTTAAATCAAGGCATGAAATATTTGGTTTTAAAGTGAACATTGAGACAAATATTGTTGGAAGGTTAACCTGCATTAGTGAAAAGTCTAGATCATACAATTATTTTAAAAAACATTTTTATTGCTTTCAAGTTCATACAGTAAACTGGCACAAGATACTGCCAGCATTCTTGCTTAGTACAAGTACTTAGACTTCCTTTAATGAATAGGTGAAGATCTATAACTGACACTTAAGGGGACTAGATACTTCCCAAGTAAACATTTGTCCTTGGTTTGAACTATTCTCTTAATTTCAACTATAATACTTCACCTGAGTGATCAGAATTCCAAGCGAATGAGGTTTTACTTCATTCCTTAGATTGTAGAGAGATTGCCTTTTAGAGCACCATTTCCCGTTGGGCATTTTCCCAGGTGTAATGTCCCTGGAATTAGTTTATTGCTTTTGGGATATCAACAGTTTATCTGAATTTGACTATTTGGTTTGATGGCTTCTTCTCTAAACTGGTACAATTACTGCACTGTGTAGGGTAGAGTGCTCACGCATTTAAAATAGATGACCATCACCTGGAGGCAAATCAGGGAACGCTTATCAAGGTACTAGTATGTTAATTTTAATTTTTTAAATCCCAAACCATTTGAATTCAACTGTTTTTGATGTCAAAGTAGCTAAATCGAGAATGTTTGAAAGTCTACCAGCTGAATAATAACTGTATTGCTAAGCACAATGTAGTGTTTAGCATGTCTCTGTAGGTTCCCACTTAGAATTACCCAAAGTATTGGTTTGTCTTGTTTTGGTTTAAAAGATAAAAAATGGTTTGAATGTTGTCAGCTATTCTCAATTAATTATGCATTAAGAACCAAGCTGTTGCTAAGGTTCAATTTTGAGTTGATAACCACTTGACCTCAGTCCAAAGCAGAACAGGAAGTAGATGAAGTTGTCCAATTTCAATGAAGAGGTTTTTAGGGGGAGATCCAAGATTTGGATAAACTGGTCACTTGCCTTTGAAAATCTGTTGCTTCAGTTATCTGGAGCTGGGTGTGTTATCGTGTCCTTTAAAAGTGATACTTTTAGGTCAGCAAGGTATATGTATGCTTTAAGTTTAGTTAGTTCTATCACTGAGGTATCAATCTTTTCTCTGGCAAGGGTCATGAATTTGCAACTATTGTGGAACTGAACAAAAGGCCTGCATGGATAAATTCATTCACCATGAAGGCTACCAGCATTTCTCATTAGTTTTTGAAGTATAAAAATATTCAGTAAACAAAAATCCAATTCCCTGTTGATAGCAAACATTTAAGGAGCACCTGCTATATTTTGATGACATCTGCTGTGAGCTTTACAGACTTTTTTGACTCCTCAAAAAGACCAAAGTAAAAATTATGTGCTAATTTTGAATATATCCTGATTTTCCTCTAAATATTCCCAGTATGGTATGCTAGCTAGCAACCATGGCTCCCTTGTGGAGATGGCTGTATGAAGTCAGCCTCTGGATTGGGACAACCTTCACATATGGCACAAACAGTCTCATCAACACTATTTTCCAGTCCCTTTAATATTGAATCTAGTCCTGGATTGATGAAGGTGGATACAGTTTCATTTTCTAAGTATTTAAATGGCTATTTGTCAGAATAATTTAATAAAATTAATATTATCTAGTACCTCAACTACACGGAGATTAAATCTACAAAGATCTAAGTAACTCAATACTATTGTAGGTGTAACTTCAAAACCATGTGTTTTCTATGAATGAATTTATTTACCTTTAAATTTATATACCTTTAAAATAACTAGTTCTTAAAGATAAAAATGATGGAAACATAGAAAAATCATGGTAACTGTGTTCAAACAGATCCCTATTCTGTTATAAAGAAAACTGAAGCTCTCTAGATGACACCTAGTGAATATTTTAATGAGGGGAAAAAATCTCAAGTTGGGCGATGAGACTCAAAATAACTAAAGCAGCAGCATCTTAAAAAACAAACAAAATAAAACCAACCATACCACTTTGAATTACAAACTCAGGCACACAGCTTAGTACACCAACCAGGACCAGTGTGAAATTCTCCCACATATATTTCATCAGTCTCAAAGACGTAAAAGGCACACAACCAATGTAATCCTTTAATTGCATTTTAAGGCTTTCCCCCTTAAGAATTAACTTTCACTGTGGTTCAAATTATTTTCTCTAAGCCCTCCTTGTTGTATAGATCCTTTGAACACCTGCCCTTATATTTCTACATCTAGACTAAAATGAATAGAATTAGGGTCTTAGTAATCATAATGGTTTTAACTGGTGACAAGAAGGAAGAAGCCTATAGTTAAATATCCCAGAAATTTATTTATGTTTGCTTGATACATTTATATAGAAAGGTTGGGACCATTTGCTTTGGGTACCCCTGATAAATTACACAGAGGCACTGAACTACAAACAGGTGTCAATCTAGGGACATCAGAAATGGAAAACCCAATTTTGACTGTTCTTAGCTTAGAGATCTGTCTCTAGTGAAATTGGGTCACGCCCTTAAAAAATGCTCAATGTGATGGAGCTACTGTGTGAAAACAGACGGCATTTTAGGACATTTCACGTTTTGGTCTGTTAGAACATTTAAATACTTGGAAATAAAAAATATTCAGCTGTGAAGTTTTCAATACTGGAAAACTTTTAAGTCTAGGTTTTATAGCCAGGAAGAGCTGTTTTGTGATCCTTAAATTGGACTTTGTTTCCCAAAAGTTAATCTTCAGCTTTGGCTTCCATTTCTTCTGCATCATCATCTCCATCCACTTCTGCATTTTCTCTCTCAAGCCTCTCCAGCTGCCTTGCAAGCTCGGTTTCATCTGTATCTGTGACCACTTTGGGCTGTGGAAGCAGAGGCATAATTTCAAAATGAAGTAGTCAAATAGTACACAAAATTGAATTTCAATACTATCACTGCCTCGTATTAACTCTTAAAGACACTTTTCTTAACAACCCTGATGCCATATCTATTCATTTCTGAGTGCTGACACATCACTAATAAATTCCATTAGCTCAATAATGGAAGAAACTTATGAGTATAAAACAGTACAGAAAAAATATGTGTGTATTAAAACAAAGTACTATTTTCTGTTATTTTTACAAGCTAAAACTGAAAATATATGAAAATAATCTCAGTGGCTATATCTTTCAAACCCAAAAGACGTCCTATAAAAATGCACCTTCTAGGTTCAAAATAAATTTACTGTTCTGTTGCAGAGAAGACTTATTATCGTGTGTGTATATATATAATGTGTTAAATATTTTTGTATATACATAAGAAAATTAGGTTTTATTCCTGTTGAGATGAGGGAAATAAAGGCAATTATCTTATTTCTAATTCTGAGATCAAATTTCAGTGTTTTACATTAAGTTCTGACAATTATCAACCACTAATTTTCATCATCTATTTTTTTCCCTTGGCTGGGTGGGTGATAACAGGACACCTAACAACACCGGTGACCATAGTTCTCAATAAATATCCCATGATAGTTATTTACTTATAAAAAGCCCTTTTAGTAATCCTCTGAGTCAATAATTATTTTATGCTTAGCAGAGTTGTAATCGTAAATGTACTCATTTTTTTAAGATTTTAGAATGCAAGTTATTTAGAAGTTTTAAATTTATTAAAACCTTTAAGAACAAGGCAAAATCACTCTTATTCTTACCTCCATTTGAACATTGAAGACACCCCTCTTTTCCTCAATCTTTTCTTTTATAACAGCCATAGCCTGATTGAGGACAGAGAGGCCTTCTGTCCTCTCCAGGGTAGTTGTAGTCATTACATACCGAGGAGGAGCTATGAGATTAATCTAAGGAAGAAGATAAAAATTCACCTGTGAGTATATCTATAGAACACACAACTATCAGGGTGTTCGAGAATTGTTTTACTAATCTGCTGCCTTAACAAATCTTAATTCTCAAAACTTAACTACCAATTTTATAGTTAGCAATTTGGGGTAGCCTGTTAAGGTAGCAAAAGCTGATACAGTGATCTAATTAAATCTGCAATACTGAATACAAAAAATGACGATTTCTGGTGTCTTTGGAGGTTCAACTAACTATAGCCATTGCCAGCATAATGGATAATTTGTCTCTAAAACAAACAGAAATTCTAATTTGGTTCCAAACTAAATAGAAGAAATTCTTCTAAGAGATTCTAAATAACAACAATTCAGTTAATTTTATTGCTAACAAAAGATTCAGAGCAAACCTCCTAAAAATTGTGTGTGAATGAGACTATGTTGCCCGTATCAAGATTCTATGAGCATTATGGGTACAACTTAAAAAAAAAAGTTTTTATTGATTTGAGAGAGAGAAAAGAGGGGGAGAATCATCAATCGACTGCTGCCTCCTGTACACCCACTACTGGGGATCGAGCTTTCAAACCTGGGCATGTGCCCTGACAGGGAATTGAACCAATGACTTCTTGGTGCATGGGACGATGCTCAACCAACTGAGCCACTTCAGCCAGGGCATAATGTTTTATTGTAAAGGAGCCCTCTGCACTAAATACCAACAGGAATCTCTATCCACTGTGACAGTAACAGTAGCTACAACAAAAAGCCTATACACAATTAATCGTAAATACCCCCTGGAACTATCACCAAGAATCACTTTTCACAACACTTGTTATGAAACATGATCATAAAAAATCTGATTTGGCTTAGGTCAGTGGTTGGCAAACCTTGGCTCGCGAGCCACATGTGGCTCTTTGGCCCCTTGAGTGTGGCTCTTCCACAAAATACCACGTGCGGGCACACACGTACAGTGCGATTGAAACTTCGTGGTCCATGCACAGAGCTGGTTTTCGGCCTGGGCGAAACAAGTATACAAGACGAGTGTGGATGGGAGAGGTGGAAGGGGTCAACCTCAGCAAACGTACTTCAATCAGACTGAGGACGTTTTTAGCAAAGACCAGCTTAGGAGTACCCTAATTAAGTTAATAACAATGTACCTACCTATATAGTTTAAGTTTAAAAAATTTGGCTCTCAAAAGAAATTTCAATCGTTGTACTGTTGATATTTGGCTCTGTTGACTAATGACTTTTCCAACCACTGGCCTAGGTGGATATTTCAGCAGGGAGGGAGAAAACTGACTGCTCACCTTGATGGGCATGGTTTCTGTAGAACAATTCAAACCTGCTCGCAGGGCTTCTTTTACGGCATCGATGCCTTCATAACCATAACAAGCCACTTCAATATCTAAAATTATAAAATTCAAAAGCTTATACCAAAACAATGAAAAAAATATTTAGAGGCATAAAAGAAATCAGAGATGTGAAGATATATAAATATTCAAACACCTGTGAAAGCTTTCATCATCCTTTCAATTAGAAACCAATCCCAGCTACTAATTTTCATAATTAAAACTATCTGAAATTATATCCTCTCATTCACATCAAGCTCTTGAATGATGAAACTATAAGACAGGCACATTTAACAAACACCTTCAATTCTGGCTATGCCTGGGTTAAAAATCACAATTCCAACTTTTCTGTACCTCAGTTTCTTATTTGTAGAATAGAGAGAAGTGTTTTAATACTGAATGAAACAATAATTGCAAATTGTTAAGAACAGTTTAGAAATTGTATATACTTTGACTCAGCAATTCTACTTTTAGGAATCTGCCTTACAGAATGCTTACAGGAATGGGTAAGTGTATATGTGTAAGAATGTTAAACTTATAGTGTTTTGTCTAATAAAAAAATTGGCACAACCTAAATGTTCTTTAAGAGGGGACTGGTTAAGTTAACCACTCTATAGACTATTACCTAGCCATGGAAAAGAATGAAAAAGATTCCTATGCTCTACATGGAAGGGCAACCATGATACACCAAGTGGGAAAAATTAGTTGGAGAAAACTTTGCATGGTATGACCTCATCTTTGTAATAACAAAAGTAAGTCCTATCTGAATGTAAACAGCATATATTCCTATACAGCATATGAGTACAGGAAAAATGAAAGAATATATTCCAAACTATTAACAGTGGTAATCCAGAGAAGTTGGAAGATATTTGTACTGTTAGACTATTTTAAAGACTATTTTAAAGTATACACTAAAATACAATAACCACCCCCTTAAAAAAAAGGGGGGGGGGTAACTTGTGTAATATATACCTTCAGCAAAATATTTAAGTTCTTAAATTTTCATATGAAAAACACATTTAGAAAAATTTATAGATGTTGATATAGTAACATATTCTTTGGAAGGCTCATTGACAACTTTTTGATACATGATAAACCTTTTAACATCATTTAAAAAATCATTTACCTGCTCGAATTTTGACAGCCTGTGGGGTCAAACGCCTATTAATATTGTTAATGAGTACTTCCCGTTCATCTTCATTCAAATCTAAACTATCCAAAATAGATGGGTCTCTGATTAAAAAAACAAAACAAAAAAACCAACAAAAGGTCAAGGTTACTTTACTGATACTTGCAATGCCAAACAATACCGCAGAATAATGTGTAAGAGCATAGACTTCAGTGTTAGAATTAGAGTTCAAATCTTAGCTTTGCTGTTTGATAACTATGTTTCTTTGGCCTTTCCATACCTCAGTTTCCAAATGTGTAAAATGAGGACAAAAACAGTGCACCTCACTGGATTGTGGTATTAAATGAAACAATGCAGCATTTAGCAATACGTGAAAAATAGAAAACATCCAATTGATCATTATTAAAGGAAAAATTGTAGAGATCAGGCTAAAGCAAGCAATTTAAAATGTCTCCCTGGTATCCCACTATACTTAAGCACTTCTGTGTAATTAGCATTCCCTGCTTCAAAAAGCTTACAATCTAACTGGAAAAGAAAACATGGAAACATTTAAAAAAAATAAAACTATACCCCTAGGAATTATTTCCAGTAAGTGGGTCAGCAAGGGTCTTCATGGATAAAGTAGAATTTTTCCTGACCTTCCTAAGTTCCACAAGACAGGAACCAGGATCTTAAGTTAATAATATGGTTGCTGAACAAATGACAAATGACAAATGACAAATGAAAAAAATAAAACAACTAAAAGAATGATAGGATTCGAATAAGCAAAGGCAGAACTATTTTAAGAAAGGTATATTAAAAAAGAAATGGCATGAGCAAGCACAAGGCTTAAAAAGCATAGGTTAAGGAATGAAAGGCAAAGGAATTTGGGTGGAGGAAACTTTCATTCAACTAATACTGCCTACAGAGCAAAAAAAGACAAAGCAACAGAAAATGGACAAATGAAATAAACAGATGTTTCATAGAAGAAACATAAATGGTCAATAACCATGAAAAAGTGTTAAGTTCACCAACAACCAAGAGAATGCAAATCATGACAAGGTATTATTGTACATCCATCAGTTTGGCAAAAGGAAAAAAGAAATCTGAGACACACCAAATGTTGGTGAGGATAAAGAGAAACAGGGATGCTCATACAATTGCTAGAGGGAATATAAAGAACCAATTTAGAGAGTATTTTGGCAAAAATAAGTAAATTTAAAGATGCAAACAATTCTATTCCTATCCTAGGTATATATCTTAGAATTCCCAAACGTGTACACACAGAGACATACATCAGTATTCATCACAGCCACTAAGGCTGCCAGAAGGAACACAGCCCCGTCAACACCATGGTTTTAACACAGTGAGAGACCCACTTCAGAATTCTGACCTACATAAAGAAAATAAATCTGTATTGTTTTAAAAAGAAATTAACTTGAAGCAGGCATACATCTATCAATTTGGAGAAATCCTGTTCAAAAGCAGCCTTATGAGTAAAAACTCAAGGTACAGAAAGATAAAGTGATAGAATAAAATTTAAAAATGTACTTTCTGAATAAATTTTAAAGTATCTAATTTCAGATAGTGGTTACCACTGATGAGTGAGAGGAATGGATTGGGAAGGGTAAACCATTATTCCCAATTATCTCAGACATTTTATTTTTTTAAATATGAAGCACATGTGGCAAAGAATTAGTATTACTTAAATCTAAGTAGTCACTACATGACTGATGACACAAGAAAAGACTGTTAAGGGGAAGGGAATAATATATGCCACAGGTGAGCAGTAATGGAGAGAATGCTGGAGATGGAAGCTAAAGAGGTAAGCTGGGGCCAGATGATGACAGCAAGCCAAGTTAAGAAATGTAATGACTGAGGAATGCAGGACTGAAGCCAGCAAGGACAAAAATATAAAGCAGTGCTTTAATGGTAATAGCATAAACTCTGGATAGAGCCAGAATGCTTGGGTTTAAATCCTGGCTCTACCATATGCTGTATGAACTTGGACAAACTACTAACTCTCTGCTTCCATTTCCTCATCAATAAGATAAGGATTAAGAGAACTTATACCATAGATTATTGTGTGAATTATATAAATATTAGCGATTATAATTATTACTATTCTCACCTCCCCAACAACATGATATGGAAAAAAAGTCACATGTGGGGGTAAACCGGAAAGGATTTAGAGAACCAATGAGTCAGCTTGCCACAGGCTCTAACAGTCCCAGGCCCCGCACAGCCATTCTGAGGGCTGAGAGAGCCACTGCCTCTTGGCAGCACAAAGGTTAGGAAAGTAACCTCAGCTTGTGGAGCATTAACATTGGGAAAGAGTGGGACGTGCAGATTTGGACAGAACTGGAGTCTGGCTGTTAAAAGGAGAGGACACAGTGCTTGCTCAGGAGAAAGTAGACAGAATCTGTTTTTTTTAGTGTAAATGGGAGAAGTCAGAACATATGTTTATGCTGCTGGAGCAAAAACAATTAAGGGAAAGACTGAGGACAAGAGACGGAATAACAGATGGGAAAAGGTCCCTGAGCAGTAGCTGGGCATCGGTGGTAAGATTAGTTTGAGAGCAGGAAGGATAGGAATTCCAGTGTGACAGGAGCTCAGGAAGGAGTAACGACAGGTGGGATGAAGATAAGTTTGCTGAGGTAGTGAAAGAAACAGAGGAGAAGCTGTGCAATGGCTTCTATTTTCTTTATAAAATAGGGAGGAGCGCGCCAGGTGCGAGTGAGGGAAGAAGGAAGGGGTGGGTATCTGAGGAAGCTCTAAAATAGCCACTCGAAGAATGAGAGGAAGAACGACCCAGGAGCAGAGAATGTGGGGCAGCAGTGTAGGCCCAGCTGAGGTTGATACCATGAATATGCAGGGACCAACCTGCAAGACTGCTGCAGGTTTTTCCTATCAGCACCTAGTGGTCTACAGTGCAGAGAAGGCAGGCACGTCGATTCAAGACTGGATGTAACAAGAAGGAAAAACAGGGCAAAAGCTCATGATTATTGGCAAGAAAGTTCTTGAAATGATGGACCATGGTGTAGCTATGTTGAATAAGAAAGAGAAGGCAAGGCGTGAAAAGACAGAGAGGAAAAAAAAGGTTTGGAATCAGAGCCTGACATAAGAATTAAGAGGACACAGACTAGGACTAACTATGTGGGAGCTGGAAAGACAGGGGCTGTGGAAAAATATAGAATGTGTGAATTAAAGGTTCTAGAGGCAGGGCAAATCCTGGTGACAGCAGATACAGAGTGAAGCCATATGGAAGACTGGCTAAAGTGGCATGGGCTGAAGGTCTAAGGAGTTGTGAGGAAAGAAAACAAGAGGTTTCAGTTTTAGATGAGACATCTACATTGGCCCTGAAGTTACCTAGGACAATAAAAAACAAGAGAAGGAAATAGGTAAGGGAGTAGCATGAGATGAAAGCATATGGTTTATGAAACTATATAACTAATATAAGAAACTCTAAGTCCTGGCCTGGTAGCTCAGTTGGTTAGAGTGTCATCCCAATATGCCAAGCTTGTAGGCTCGATCCTCAGTCAGGGCATACACAAAAAGCAACCAATGAATGCTTAAGTAAGTGGAACAAATCGATGTTTCTCTCTCAAATCGATAAAAAAAGAAATTACATAGGCTTGGCTATACAGGATTGGCTCATATGATGGGCCTTTTATACTGAAACATTTTAATGTAAATTTCTACTATTACATGTCAAGCTCTCAACTTGCATGCTAGACCCAGCAGCTGTGATATGAAGGTAGGAGGAGAGTCAAAAAGATGTTCTTACGAGACTGCATGCTTAAATGCATCATAGGCACCATATCCGGGTCTCTTGTACTTGTCATCAAAGACCCAAGCAGTCCTCTGGAACAGGCTTTCCAGCTGCTCATCCTTGGTGTACTCTAACACCTCAGCAACATGACGAAGAATGCTGTAAACCTAGAAACAAAATGAAGGGCTCAACAATTCAAAGAGTAAGAGATCTATTAAAAAAATAGGTATTTTTATACTTTACTAGATAGCATATAAAAACAAACCTTTGGTTAATGTGACTACAATAATTGCTTAACAACAAAGGATCGCCATACAACAAATTCTTTTCCACAGAGAAATATTTACTTTCCCATAATAATAAACTCAACTGGGTATAACAAGTAGAAATAGAATTTAGCACCGTTAACACTCAGATTGCATCTTGACTCTGAGAAATTAACCTCTCTGAGTTTGTTTCCTCCTCTGGAAAAGGAGATAGCATCTCTTCTTTTTACTGCACAGAGCTCTTACATAGATCAAACAAATACAAATGCAATACTATAAATGAAAAACATTATGTTTCTTAGATTCACAAACATTTTACAAACCCTTGCTCATTCTTAACATAGAACAGTTGTCTCTGTGACCCTTATTCCAGAATAGGGACCAAAGTCAACTACATGTTATGACAAGCCAAATAAAAAGAGATCACCCATAGTTAATTTATTCCTAAAGTAGCTTAAAAACATTCAGTACTGTTTTGAGAATATTAGATCATACTTTGGGATAGTAACACCATGAGATAAAAACACTGCAGTCATACTCTTTTGAAATTAAATCTTATATCATTTTTCTATGTAACACACAACTGGAAATGAAAATATAGTTACAGAAAATGTAGGTTTTGTTTTTTTGCCAGGAAATGACTTGCTGATTATTAAGCACAAATAGTGGATTACTTTGACTAAAAAAATCTACTTACAGTTTTAGATTTGGTGAATTTATCTTCACATTTGATTGCTTCTTCTGGAGAAACTCTTCTTTTTGACAAATCAATGTAACCTGCATGAAAAAAAACTGAAAATGATTATCTCTGTCCAGGTGCCAGCATACCACAACCAGTTGTTTGGTTGGTATACTACACTTACTCCCCACTAAAATCCTGATAAATTTTGTTTTCAGAAATGCATTTAGATTATCATGTAATTGTATATTCTCTATTACCTCATTGGAAGGAACCAGTAATTTTCAATGATCAAATTAAAGCTAGTCAAAAGATTCTCTATTTGTCTATTTTCTGTATGCTTCCCTCCCACTCCCCCTATACAATCTGGCATTAGTACTTTGATCATACTGGAGGGGTTCTGAAATTCCAGGTTGTCTCAGACTGTACGTTGCAAGGCCTCAGCTTGTCATACTGGTTCTTTTTAAATGAACTCTCTTCAAGTTTTACTATCTTCAAGAGCCTTCTGCCATCTTTAACCTGTCAGCCCATCCAGTTAATTTTTTAAATATTACACTTTTGATTTGTAGGGTTTGTTTAGCTTTTTTTGTGTGAGGGTTTCTAATTTCTCTAAAGACTGCATTTTCTTCATCACAAGCATATTTTCCTAATATCCTTGAGCAGTTATAATATCTGCTTTAAAATCCTTATCTGCTAATTCCAACATAAGGGTCATTTTTAGGTCAGTCTCCACTGATTGCTTTCTCTCCTATATGGGTCATATTTTCCTGTTTGGCAACTTTGGACTGTATCCTAAATATTGTGAATGTGACAGACACTGAATTCCTTTATGTTCCCCTTAAGGATATTGATTTTGTTTTAGTAGGCAGTTAATTTGTTTGTATTCAGAACTGTAAGCTGTCTCCCCAGGTGGAAAGCAATTGACATCTGTTTAGAGTATGCCCTATTAGATTGCTTGCAATCCACCCTGTAGTTCAGAGGTCAGCCAGGATTTGAGCAGAACTTACATATAAATTTAGGGGTTCTCCCTGTATCTCTCCTTTCTCTGATCTCTATAACTATTTCCCATCTGCCGTGGTTTTCCAGAACTGTCACTTCTGGCTCTCAAGCCATTAAGACTGTAGGTTTCCACTAGAATTTTAGCGGTCCTGCTTGACGCTATCTGTGATGCGTTCAGACAAAAAGCTGCAAAACTTATCCAGTGCAATTCCTTTCTTCCTTCAGTTCCAGTCTGCTTTTGTTACCATTGTCTTTAGGTAGTTGTTTTTAATATTTATTCAGGGTTTATAGCTGTTATTTTTACCGGTTTGTCCAATAGGAACTAATCTTTCAGTATCCTTAATGGAGCCCCTCCATAGGATCATCTGCGCGTTGATTTTTTTTTTTTTTATCTTACCTTGGTCATCTTTCCATATCAGAAGTGTCATGATTTATTTCACTATGATTTTTATTATTTCCTGTTTTTAATGAATACTGTACAAGCAATGCAGCTATGGAAATTATTTTTACATGTCTATTGTATATGAAAATAAAATATATTTCTGATTGCAGGTGGGAATTTGATTCCTTCTTGTTATATTTTATATAATAAAAACAAAATACAAGATAAGACACCATTCTAGGTCATTCTGGGGCAGTGCTATGAAGACTTACTAAAGTTTAAGGAATATAAGTCCCCTGTTATCCACAGGAGATATATTTCAAGACCCCCAGTGGATGCCTGAAATTGCAGATATCAAACCATATATATATATATATTTATATATACTATTTCCCCCCTCTACATATATAGCTTCTTATTTAAAACCCTTTGAGTACCAACCAATATCCTAGGAACTATGCTAAAATTGCCAAGGCATTCTGAGTTAAGGTTTTTAAATTTTTTTTCCCACATAAAGAGTGAACTACTAGCATCTAATAGTGACACTGCAGGAGGAGCGCGATAGCGCTCCCGGCACTTTTGGCGAAGGACAGGAGGAGCGCAATCGCGCTCCCCGGCACTCTAGGGGTTAAAGGATGCGTTTAATGGCTTTTCTTTGGCACATCCAAAGAAAGTTATACATATTTTGGGCCCATTATTAAGTAAAATAATGGTTACTTCAATACAAGCACTGCAATACCTTGACAGGCAATCTGATAACTGAGATGGCTACTAAGTAATTAATGGCCAGGTAGTGTACACAGCATGAACACGCTGGACAAAGGGGTGATTCATACCTGGGCAGGATGGCTAGAGATTTCACCAGACTATTTAGAATGGTGTGCAATTTAAAACTTATAAACTGCTTATGTACCATGGTCCAAAAAAGTTAAATGGAAAATTCCTCTGGGAATAAAATTCAAGTTATTTGACCCATAAAAATGAGCCTTGGGATGTACTAATTAAACCACTAACTTAAGAGATCTTGCTTAGATGGTTAACTGGCATCCTTCTCTAACAACTTTGTATGTAAAATAATTTATAAAAGGAGGTATTTTGTTTTTTTACTGCAGTAGGCAATTTATAAAAAAATATATTTTATAATAAACCATTTTAAATCTGAAAGTTATACAGAGTGGGGCAAATGTAGGGGTAGTTGTTTGTATGGAAAATAATACAATAGTTAATACAAGTATAAATTCTGTTGCACAGTCACAACCATAAACCTACTTTTACCCCACCCTGTATTTTAGATATTCTTTTCACTTACCTTTTTCTTTGTCCACTCTAATGACAACCACACATTCATTCCTGCCAATTCGGATGAGTTTGTTTATAGAACGAATACGCCTTCTGGACAACTCACTAAGAAGAATCATGCCTTCAATATTGTTATATTCCAGAAGGCTGACGTAAGCCCCCATTTCAGCAATGGACCTTACATTCACCATCACTACATCTTCCACTTCAGGAAATTTGTGTTGATAAAATCTACAACTAAGACCCGGCATTCTGCAATTTAAACAAAAGAATCAAGTAAGTGCTCAGTTAAGGTCAAAATAAAGAAATGTGAGTCAATTTTCCACATTTTGCCAATGCAAGAAGTTGTTAGTCTCCTCCCTTCTTTAAACTTCTTAAATGGTATCAGAAAACAGATGATGTCTAAGAACCAAGCTTTAATTTTTATGCTGCTCCACATTTTTGTAAGGCTTGGGTGATTCTCTGCCATCAGTTTCAGAGGATTCATAAAAATTAATGGCCATCTATAAAGTACTCTGAGATCTAAGGATAAAGGTACCTCAAGAGTTAAATACTATTTTACTACCACCACTTCAAGAAAAACAAATGATGGGAAGCATCAATAAACCTACCAGCAAATTCTAAACCTATTCGTTCTCCAAATCTGCTAAGACTGTACGCACTACATAAAAAGAGAAGTATCTTCTTAAACCCTAACCATATGTCAAATTATATACCCTATAATTTATTATAGCCAAAATCACAATATCACGTCAGAAAAAAATTAGGTTTATTAATCACAAAATATATTACATTTAACTAACATGTACCCTCCTATCCAAATTTTTTCCTCTTAACACAATGAATTTAATTCACAATTACCATAATTTCCAGTTTCTAATTTTTTCATCACTCCCAAATATTCTTCTCTTTTGTTGAATAGGTATACCCAACCTTGAGAATACCTTTATAGACCTTCATTACTATATAATTCAAGTTTCTCTTAACCTCCAAGCATTAACTGTATTTAAAACTATTCTCTTTGATCCACCCAACCTACTTTCAGCACCATTCCTTTTATGACCCACAAGCCTGAAATCATACCATGAGTAGAAATATATTTTTAAACAGAAGCTCTCAAACTAATCAGTTGATGATTTTTCATTATTTTTCTGCTAACCTTAACCAGTTTACTCTTGTGAAAGCTCAGAAGACAGGCAATAATAGGACCTAAATGCCTATGAAAAATTTACTAACATAGTTTTTCTTCTTTTTTTTCTTTCTAAAATATACTTTTATTTATGTCAGAGAGGAAGGGAGAGAGAGAGAGAGAGAGAGAAACACCAATGATGAAAGAGAATCATTGATTGGTTGCCTCCTGTATGCCTCCCATTGGGAATCGAGTCCGCAACCTCAGCATGTGCCCTTGACCGGAATCGAACTCAGGACCCTTCAGTCCCCAGCCCGATGCTCTATCCATTGAGCCAAACCGGCTAGGGCTGTTTTTCTTATTAATTGGGAAATAAGGCTTCCATTACTTGATCTTAAAGACAGGGCATTCACATCCAGCTCACAGGCCACCAAGCGTTCTGCTGCAGTGCTAACTGCACCCACATGTACCTTCCCATTTACATACATCTTCCCACTACCTACATGGTCCTATGTGATCTGGCCGCTGCCTATCTCCCTGAGGTACCACTTTCTCTTCATTTTATAGATGAAGAAACTGAAGCACAGGTTAAGCAACTTGTTCTGTCATATACTACTAACAAGTGATAGTGTCAGAATTTGAACCTATGAGGTCTGGATCCACAGTCTGTGCTTATTCATCAGGCAATATTTTCTCTCAACATTATTGATAAATGTACTACAATCAGAAGCACCTTAAACAAAGAGCAACATTAATATACATTTTCAGTGCTGAAGCATATACTACAGATTAGTGAACTTTTAGTACTAACCTATCGTATTTAACAACAACAAAAAAATCAAGTAGCACATTTACAATAGTGGTAGAGATGTATTCTCCTGTAGCTTGACAAAATAGGAATTTAGCAAATAAAGGGAAGTAGACATTCAATGGCCAGAATTACCCACAAAACAGCTGAGCTGGTCATTTTATTTTTAACCAGGACTCTTTTTTTTTTTTTTTTTTTTTTTTTTTTTTGGCGCGGGGTAGCGGCGATAACAACAGGACTGTTGTCAAATAAAATTTGAGAGGGAAAAAAGTTTTAACCTGGGTATCAAATAAAATGTCATGAAGATCTGTGAAATAGTTTGAAGAACTTTAACATATGCTGACCACATTTACTTATCAAGTTTCTTCAAATATTAAAGCTGGTAATTTTGGGAAAGCAAGGCTTTTGATGGTTAAAGAACAAAGGCAATGGTGTACAAGAATCCTGAAGAAAGATATAAATTCCACAGCTTTAGGAGGTTCAAGTCTCTGCAATATATAGTGTAAATAAAGGAATACTGCTGATGATATGTCATTCACAGTAAAAAAAAAAAAAAAAAAAAAAAAGGTCGGGGGGTGGTGTGGGGTGGTGGCGGTGTGTGCCATTGTGTACTCCTGAGGCGCCCCAACTCAAGGCACCCTTACTTTAAGTATATTGAAGAGGCTGTATAGTCACTCGGCCCACTTTTCTTCATGAGATTCCAGGTAAGGACAAAAAGAATGCATTTCACAGAGAACCTGCATGCCGGTTGGCAGATTGTGAACATATCTCCTTATTACACTAACTTCAAGTAAGTCCTCAAGTCAAGCAAGTAGCACAGTGAACTTTGGGAACAGTTGTAGATGTGGGTGTCAATCCTTGTTATCTTACTAGCTGCGGTTGCTTGGAAAATGTATTCCCACTGAACTGTAGTTTCTAGTCTGGGCCAGGTACCTCACAGATTTGTGGAGAGTTATCAAGTGAGATAAAATACATTTGAAAGTGTAATGTGCTATCCTATATAATAAAACCCTAATATGCAAATCCACGGAACAGCAGAATGAGGCGTCACTATGATGCGCACTGACCATCAGGGGGCAGACGCTCAGTGCAGGAGCTGCCCCCTGGTGGTCAGTGCGTTCCCCCTCCGCAGCAGGCCAGGCTGAGGGACACCCCCCAACCCCCAGTGCATGAAATTTCATGCACCGGGCCTCTCGTACAAATATAAGACACTAAAGGCAAAGAACATATTATTTCCATTTTGTAGTACCTACTATGTACAAGCACAAGCTAAAACCAACTCTTAGGTCCTCAAACTACAGCCCGCCAAAAACATTTATCCGGCCCGCCAGGTGTTTTTGCCACTGCTGTGTGCATAGGAATTTGTTCATAGTTTTTTTTTTAAACTATAGTCCGGCCCTCCAACGGTCTGAGGGACAGTGAACTGGTCCCCTGTTTAAAAAGTTTGAGGACCCCTACTTAGGGGGTCCTAAGGCTTAGGACATTAAATAGAGTGTCTTTAACCCACAAAACCTCAGTATGTCACAGGACTACAATACCATATGTGTTCTTTGTTAAAGAGCATCCATCGTTCAGAATATACTAACAGCTAATTTCAAATACTCTGCATTGCCAGGAATTTTGCCAGGTCAAAGGGTAGGAAGGGCTTCTTTCTTAAACTATGCATACGGGAGGCCCACACTCCTTTCCGAGGTGACGTGTGTTGCGTGTTAGAAGCAACGCTTGTGTAATTTTAATTAGGCTCGAGTGTTACAGGAAAGCAAGCTTCTGAAAGGCCTCCCTGTAGTTGAAAAAGGAAGCACCAGATCTACACACATGGCTGTGCATCTCTGAGATCTTTTGGCATCAGACGAACTGGCAGGACATTTAAGCAGAAGTAATTCCCAAACTGTTCAAAGACACGGCGTCCAAGTTTCCCCCCCTAAATAACAACTTCAATCAGGAGAAAAACTAAGATTTCTCTGTTACACCTACCCTCCCAGGAAACAACGTGTCTTGTTTAATGAAAATTAAAGTACCTTACGTTTGGGGAATAATAAAAAGGGACCTCTCAGGCTGAATACGCATCTAACCCTAATGCTCCCTTATTTTACATTTTCCTTTCTATTTAACTGTAAGACCACAGCGTGTAATTCCATAATTCTGTTCCCATCGGTGCCGAAATACGGCAAACCGACAGGAAGCTTGTTGTAGTTTCGAGGGATTCATTGTACAGAAATGCTCATCTCGAGCTTTGAGGCAGCACGAGCTGCAATTTTTAAAAATAAACCATCGAATGAATAAACGTCTTATGGACCTTTTAGAACCCAGCTCTTGTCAACACTGTGACCCTCCCGCCCCCCTCACCGGGCCCTCGAGGTGTCCAGCCCGGTTCCCACCGAGAGGTGGTATTTCCTGGGACCGAAAGGAGAAAAACAAAAAGGTCGGAATTCTCCAGCCCGGAAAGAGCCGAGTGCTCGCCGTCCTGGGGCTGGGGTGTCGCTGCGTCCTCCCGAGGCGCCCCACCTCAAGGCACCCTCACTTTAAGGGCACCGAACCCACCCTCCTTCGCGAGGTTCCTGCGCTCCCAGAGGCGCCTCGGGAACACGGGAAGACCGAGCGGAGCCGGCGGCGGCGCCCAGACACTTCCCGCGCCCGGACAGGACGCGCTAGCCCGGGCCTACCCTCCCTCCCTCGACCACCCAGGCACTGGCCACAACCAGAGTGAGGTCGTGGAGAAACCGACCCAGGGCGCCAGTCACCTGAGATATGCGTGTGAAGCCTATTGTGGGCTCCGGGGCCGCGCTCCGTAAGTGTAGAGACGAGACTCGCTCCGCCTGAGCAGCCGCCGCCGATCCCCTCAGCGTGCGCCTCGCTCAGTCCCACCGCGCATGCGGCACCACCTCGCAGCGCGCAAGCGCCAACAGAATCGAGCCCCTCTTCCTCACTGACCATAGAGTCCAGGTCCTCCGGGAACAGGGACGAACGGAGATCACAGGAGGACCTGAAAATTACGCTTTCTCATAGTTTTAATTTTCGATAAGTAGACTTCAAGGCGCAGGGAAGAGGTAGGACTCCGGTTCCTTGTCCCTAATAAATAAATCCTTTCTTAAGGCTTCCGGTCAGTCATGAGGTGGCGCTGTGACCACCGATGACAAGCGGAAAAGGAGTGTACTCTTCTCTCCTGTTCTTTCGCTTCAAGCTTGGAGAGCCCAGCACAGCCGCCTAGGCACTGGAGCGGGAGGGGCTGGAAAGCGAGCCGGAAGTGAGGGGCAATCTCGCGGTGCGCGCGACTCCACATCCGGGCCTTGTCTTCTTCAGTCCTCCCGCCCCCACCACTCCACCCCGGGTGCCAACAGGAAGCGGAAGTGAAGAATGCGAATCCCGACGGTCTCCTAGCAACGCGAGGGGGTGGTCAAGTGACACAACCACCTGACTGCGGTAGAAGAAGACGCTGTGGGTGGGTCTGTGGCAACCACGACTGCCCGACCGGGAACCGAAGCCGAACAATCATCGTCAGAATGTCGGGCAAAGATCGAATTGAAATCTTTCCCTCGCGAATGTAAGTAAAAGAATGACCGTCATTAGGTTCAGGACCGCCTGGCGGGATTCTCGTTTCCTCCGCAGCGAGGTTCCTGATTTTCTGGGCGGATCCTGAGCTCTCCCGGTCTTTCTTCGTGAGTGCAGGGCGAGGCTCCCTGCCCGCCCCCTCACACATTCCCCCGGGTGAACCTGGCTGGTCAGAGCGATCCCTGCCCATAGGGACAGGCGCCCGGCCTGCTGGCTTTTGTGAAGGTCCGCTAACCCCATTCATTAATCGAGCCATTCATTCCACCCTCCCTATCGAACCTGCACTTGATTACGTAACTGTGAATCGATGCTCGGTTTAGCGGGGAGGTGGGCAAGCTAACGAGGGTTGATAAATGGATTGAGAAGGGAGGTTTACTGCTGTGGGAAGCATATAGAAGACACTTCTGTGCCAAATTGGGTGTTGAATTGAAATGCCCCAGCATGGACGCCAGATCGTATCCCCTTAGTCATTTTCCAGGATCCCATGAAATGTCCCCTGCGCTGGGAAGGTAGCCCCGAGTTTCTGAGGCACTCCTCTTGCCCAATGACCATTGCAACTTGTTCAGACTTATGTTAATAATACCCAGCACATTGTAAAGTGGACAGTAATTGTTTGCATAACGTTCCCACTGGACCCTGTGCTCTCGAGTATTAGTCTAGTAGAGGCCCGGTGCACGACATTCGTGCACTGGTGGGGGGTGAGGGGGGGTCCTCTCAGCCCAGCCTGTGCTGTGGCAGAGGCAGAAGAGGCTCCCGCCACCTCCGCTGTGCTCGCCAGCCTTCAGCCCGGTTTGCGGCTGAGCGGAGCTCCCCCTGTGGGAGCGCACTGATCACCAGGGGGCAGCTCCTGCGCTGAGCGTCTGCCCTCTGGTGGTCAGTGCACGTCATAGCAACCAGTCATTCAGTAATTTCGTTATTTGCATATTACCCTTTTATCATAGTATATAGACAGTCCGCAAAAAATGTTCCTCGAATGAACCCATGCCTTGGAATTTGCTGAGTTGGGGGCAGCCTTTCTCTTTTGGGCCGTTGTTTTTGGCAAGAGAAATAGCATATGGCCCTAAGTGGCCAGTCTGTAAAGAAAATGCTGAGGTTTTCTCATATGTACCTAACAATGTGTGGAAAGAAAAGACTGTTCTTATTTGCCCTCTTCTCCTTTTCCTTTTCCTCCTTTTCTTTTTTCAGTGAGGAGCAGAAAGTCAGTTTTGGCTTTGACATTTAGATCTTTTTTTTCCTTTTTTTTTTTTTATTGTGGTCCTATCTTTTTGGAAGTATTCTGTTGCTTTTCTTCATCCTGACCTTTTTCTCCTAAATAAAAGCTATTTTCAAACCCCAAACCTAGATTCCTGTCTCTGCTTGGGTGGCTACAGCTCTTAATGAAATGAAGGAATTATTGGCTTTTTGTTTATTTTTTTACTTTCACCTCCTGGCTTTCTAGTAGCTGTTTGGAATCAAGTGAGTTGTGGGGAAGAGGGCCAAACTCTAGCATAGCTTCCAGCAGCCTACGGTTATGTTTCCTAAATGACAGCAGCCCCTATTAAAATGTCTGCCTGAGAAAGCTCAGAGCCACCAGAAGAATTTACTGTTTAATCTAGCCAACACCTGCTGGTAATCCCTGACCTCCCTTTCTTAGGGCATTTCCTGGAAAGGGCTTACAATGATGAATCCTTCATTTTCCCATTGAGATGTATAGGGTGTCCCAAAAAATGTATACACATTTTAACAACTGAAACTCAATTTTGAAAATGAAATGTATTTTAATAACAACTGCCTTTATAATTGTTCAAAGTATATGGGTACATTTTGTTGGGAGACCCTGTATATGTCTCTCCCTATAAATTAGAAGAGTCTTTCTCAAAGACCTGAAAATCATTTCTTTGAAATGTAATCAGGAAGGATAAGGCTTCTGTCTGTGAGGATGGAATCCTAACTTCCATAATTGCCAGCTAGCAGACACAGGTGGCCCAATCGCATTTCCACTGACCGGCCTTTTGTAATTTTTCACTTCTCTGATTCTGCTTGAATCCCCTCTCCCTTCGTTCCCTCATTCTTCTTTTAAAATGCAGGCACTTCTGCACACCTCAGCTCCTTCCCCTCTTGTCAGTGGTTACTGAGTAAAATCAGTTTTCACTGCTTCAATTAATGTTTGACAGTGTTAATATTAGTAGTCAGAATGTTAACATTTTTGGGGGTCTTAATTTAAGACTAAGAGGTGAAAATAAGCTTTATTCAGCTTAGAGAAGAAGAATGATAGGTTTGTGAAGGTGGAAATTGCTATTTTAGAGCATCCAGCTTGCTGTTTAAGGGGAAAATCAGGTGCAGCTTCTCTAAATATTTTCCCCAAGGCTTAGCATAGGTACTTTGTCATGTAGTCAGATGTCTTTGATTCATCTGGAAATAAGTTATCATCCTAGCTGAAGGTCAAACACTTTTAAGTAGGGCTGAGCAGCTGTGAAACTTGTAAAAGAATAAGTTTTTTAAAGAGTCAGGTTAGGAAATACACTAGTGACTTCTCTGAGATAATTCTTATAAGTTACCCTATGAAATGGGGCTGACAACCACTTAGGCACCAGAGAGAGAAAAACAAGTTTAGAGTGGAATTGAAAGAGGCATAAGGTATGGAGTCTAAAGAAATCAGTCAAATCCAGGTTATACCTACAAGGCTGGAAGCCTTTGGGCAGGTCACTCTTGGAGTGTCAAGAGTAAAAATTTGTCTATTTTACAGATTTTCCATTACCTAGAAGGAAATTAAAGTTAGCCTGGTCAGTTCAATTTTATCAACCAGTTCAACTTTTTGCTATCAAACTTGCTGGACTCTGCAGTACTAGGATTTGACTTACATTTGATCCAACTCTTTCCAAATTCTGATGGTTAGTATAAACAATACAGTATGTTTAATATACACATTGGGGCAGCTAGATGCTGCTCAGGCAGGAAACTGAACCTGCCTCACTTGGTTAATCTTCAGCCAGTGCGAAGGCAGCCCGGATAGCTGGAGAGAGCTGTTCACCTGGTGCTGTTGATCGTCTGTAGGGGAGGAAGTGTCCCCTGTAATGGGGGTACAGTGGACCTACGGTTGAGCCTTGGAGAAGTCCCTGGAGTCAGAAATCTGGTTCTTGTCCTGCTCTGCCTTTTCTTCAGTGAGTGACTGCGGGAAAGTTGTTTCATTTTTCTAACTCTCATTTTCTTAAATTTCAGGATAACATCTAAAGTTCCTTCCAGCTGCAGAATTGTCTCAATAACCTTTGCCCTATGGTAAAGGACTTCAACAATCTAAAAACTTAGCCAAAAGGTCCATTAATACTACTTTGCATTTGGTTATAACACCATTCATATGAAATTATATCTCCTTAAACAAATCACTTTAAGTATCTAAGATAATCTATGATTGGATCTTATTACCCATTTCCCCCCATTATTAAATTTTCTTAAAAAATATATTTTATTGATTTTTTTACAGAGAGGAAGGGAGAGGGATAGAGAGTTAGAAACATCAATGAGAGAGAAACATCAATCAGCTGCCTCCTGCACACCCCCCACTGGGGATGTGCCCACAAGCCCATGCCCTTGGTACATGCCCTTGACTGGAATCGAACCTGGGACCTTTCAGTCCACAGACCGACACTCTATCCACTGAGCCAAACCAGTTACGGCCCATTATTAAATTTTATCAGGCATATGGGAGCAAGAACAGAAATGTCAGTTTCTGCAGTTGGTTTTTTGACTTTGGTATTGTGGTTTCTGATGGGAAAAGATTGAAATAGGCAGTAAGGAGACTTCAGTAGCTTGTCACTTTTCAGGAGTCTATTCTTATATATGTCATTTAATCTATCTATATAAAAGCCTAATATGCAAAATGTCCCCTTGGGAATTCAACTGGGAGACCGGGAATTCGATCGCTCGCTATGACATGCACTGACCACCAGGAGGTGGCGTGGAGCTAAGGAAGGTCCTGGCCCGCAGCCAGGGAAGGGATGCCCCGGCTGGTAGCTGGAAGGCCCTAATCAGCCCTGATTGCCCGCCAGGCCTAGGGACCCTACACGTGTACAATCAGGCAGGCAGGCAGAGTGCTTAGGGGCGATCAGGTAGGCAGAGGTGGGTAGGGGTGATCAGGCAGGCAGGCAGAGTGCTTAAGGGCGACCAGGCAGGTAGAGTGCTTAGGGGCAATCAGGCAGGCAGGCAGAGTGCTTAGGGGTGACCAGGCAGGCAGAGGCAGTTAGGGGTGATCAGGCAGGCAGGCGAGCAGTTAGGGGCCAGCGGTCTTGGATTGCGAGAGGGATGTCTGACTGCTGGTTTAGGCCAGATCTCCAGGGATCCCTGCATGATTGGGCCTAAACCGGCAGTCAGACATCCCCTGAGGGTTCCTGGATTTGAGAGGGTGCAGGCTGGGCTGAGGGACCCCCGTCCCTGTGCACGAATTTTGTGCACCAGGCCTCTAGTATAGTAATAAAAAGTAAATCTACTTTTTTTTTTTTTTTTTTTTTTTTAAATATATTTTATTGATTTTTGACAGAGAGGAAGGGAGAGAGATAGAGAGTCAGAAACATCGATGAGAGAGAAACATCGATCAGCCGCCTCCTGCACATCCCCCACTGGGGATGTGCCCGCAACCCAGGTACATGCCCTTGACCGGAATCGAACCTGGGACCTTTCAGTCCGCAGGC